GTCTACATTCTAATTGATTTCGAGCTACTTTAAATATAGTTTAAGAGGCCCAAACCTATGTCAAAACATGACAGTTAACAAACATGCGTGCGTAAACTTTGAGCCCAATTTCCAGCAGACTCAGAGGACTTGGCTGCTACCGCAAAGTGCCAAAATCCGACTTATTATTTGGAAACCGCTCGCATTGAATGCCATTGACTCAGCCACCCTGAGACTGCCCATTCTTTTTTTATGCGTCGTCGGCCGTCCAAGTTCAAAGGGGCGCAGGAATGCAGGAATACAAGCTCTCCAAACCCAATCGAAATCAACACGTCAAACAACACACTCTAATGTTGCACTCAGACTCAGGGGAGTTAATATGGGAACATCCAAATCAATGCAAGAAAAAATACCCACTATAACGTGATCAGTGTTCGAGTTTGGGGAGCAAAGCAAGTGCTACAAGGAGCAATTATTTGAAATTGTCGTGGTGCACTCCGGGGTCTGTGAGGACCCAGCCGTAGCTTCGGGCAGCGTTCTGGCAAATTGCGGGACCGGGAACCATCGTCGTCACTCCGACCAACATTGGTAATACTATAGTAAATAATAAGCTACATCGCCAATCTGCCGACCGTTCGAAATTGACCACTGTTTGTTTGAATAATACAAAGCTACTGTGCTGCGCCCACAACTTGCCATCCACGCTGCGGCTGGTGAAACGCTGCGCGCTTTGGCGCCGCCAACGGCACACTGACCTGCTAAATTCACGCGCCCGGGTAAGACCACCGGCCGGCGGCTGCAACGTGAAGAACAGGAACTGTATCGCTCAACGTCAATGAGCAAAGCAGGCGTTGCGCGATCAATTAATTAGTTTGACTCGCAGCGATTGCGGGAACCTTCATTCCGACCAACATTCTACATTATTTTAATAAGGGCAACGCCACATATTTTGGAATTGAAATAAGAACCGTCTTTTTAACGTACACAAGCTTAATTTAGTAATTATTATATTACAACTGCATTGTGTGACCACGGTCACCCGCAACGACTTGTCAAACAAACGCGGCGCCGCAACGACAGGCTGGCTGGGCTTCCGGCTATAGCGACCGGGGTAAGACCACCGGCGGACGGCTGCTGCGCGACTAGGCCGCGACGCGGGGCTGCCAGCACGACTTTGCAACGGCGATCGCAAGATCAAGGGCGGCCTGGTCTGCCGCGGCTTGCTGCTGGCCCGGGAAGCCGCGGCAAATCTGACAAGGCCCGCACTGCCGCGTTCTCCAGTTGCCAGACATCTCTGTGACATCGGATCGCGCGATGGATTCGACCAAGGGGCTGCCCTGCAACGCATAGAATAGCAGCTGCGCAAAGGCAACGCTCCGGTGGTTACCACTCCTGCAATAACAAATCACATTGAGCGTGGGTCGGCGCCCGCCTGACGAGGACGACGGTAACTCCGAATTGGGTCTGCCACTGCGCGCAGTGACAATCGCCTGTCTGACCTTGATGAACAGCCTCCGTAAAATCCTGGCGCACTTGCTGGTGCTTTGCAAGATTTGAGGGTGAAAGCCAACGTGCATGCGTAGCGACTTGTCACTGTCAGGGTCATGAAAATCCCGACAGTCGATGATCACTGTGTGTTCGGCCGCTGGCGCGACTGGGGTAAGACCACCAGTCAGAAGTTTCAGAATTATGTTTTCGTCCACCATCCTGCCAGTTGAGTCGTCCATGCACTGCTGGCGCAGCACTTTTGCCTGTCTACGCTGCCACGGCAGCATGTCCACGCCAGACGCTGACTCTAACGTCCACCCCAGGTTGCCGACGCCGCAGGTGACAAGGTTGATGGCCACGCGAGGGGGTGGTGCCGGGAGAGATGGCGGCGCTGCGGCCCGTGGCCTCCGTGCCGGTTGCTCTGGCAAGTCACGGGGCATTGGCTTTGGCATTGGCATTGCCTGGGCGGGAGGATTTGGCGGTTGCGGCGGGGTACGACCACTGCTGCTGGGGGCAGTGGCTGTCGGCGGCCTGCCTGCGGCCATGAGCGTCACTGATCTGAGACCCGTGATGTCGCCAAGGGCCGGCAGCGCCGTCTGCGGCGTGGGGCATTGAGTCACATTCCGCCACCACCGGCCCTGTGCCAATTTCTCCTTGGAAGCTTGCATGTTGGCAGTGTTCTGAACGTGCCACTTAACTCCGGTCCCGCAGTTCTCGGTCTTAGCCGCGGTGGTGGCGCGTCGTCGGTCGGTGTCATTGGGAATGCTCCACCCAGCGGCAAAAGTTAGGCGCAGTGCGCTGTCTTTGCCACCTGCGCTCTTCAAACGCTCGAAGACGTCGATGTCCTGGTATACCCCGTCGGCTGGAAGGACTGGTCATAGCCACCGATCATGGCGAAGGATTCCTGCGTCATTCCAACCCGGCCGGTGCAGCCCGGGTCGGCGCCCGCCGTGCACCTAAACCCGAAATCCTGTTCGGGCCCTCCGCAAGCAAGTTGCCCACCAGGTGGTTGCGGCAGAGGGTCAGCGGAAAGTCGATTGGCAACATGTTGTCCGCGTCCAATTGATCAGAAGGTGTCGGCGGTTGTCCGGCAACGCGGGAGCAAAGTTGGCGAAGTCTTCCCACCTTCTTGGGGAACGATCGAAATTGAAAGCCCAGGACGTAAGACCATCCTGGGACACTTGGCGACCATAAGAGACAACACGTGCGACACATACTTGCAGCGACTCCTCTGGAAGGAGCTAAGGTCATTGAGCCAGCCGACGACCAGTGTTCCACTGGCCAGCTCCTCCTGGAAGTTGGCTTCAATCCAATTCCGGGTTTGCCCGCCGTTGGCGCCTTCATAGAGCGCTACGACGAACCGGACGCTGTGCGGGCTGAACCTCCCGGTCGTCATCAGGTTCACTCCAACTGCCACCCACCGTTGAAACAGCAAATGCAAAAGCTGATGCGCGCCTCCGCCAATTGCACAGCTGGTGGGCCATCTTCCCCCCAGGCTGCTGCCAATGACATGTGGCACGCCTCCACATTCAACCCACGTTGACAATGAGCCAGCTGAACGCACTGTTTGGCCAGGCCCACCCTGTCTCGCCAAGCCCGTTGTGCCGGGAGAACCGGGCAGGCTGCTGGCGCTGGTCCTGGTTCAGGGCCACCATCATCTTCATTGCCGTCGCCCTGCGGCTCTTCGGGCTCCTCGTCGAGCTCCTCGGCGGGCTCCGGCTCCTCAGCCTCGGGCTCAGCAGCACCGTCGTTCAGGTCCAAGCTGCCTTCTTCATCTGAGCCTCCCCAGTCGGGCTCGTCGTCGCCGCCTTGCTCCGCAGCGGCCTGGGTGTCCTGCAGAGAATGACTGTTATTTATTTATATATGTATTTATTATATATATATATACACATATAATATAGAATAATATAATATAGTTTACTAATGTCATCAAACTTCTTCGACCTTAAAACCAACTATTATTTCGAGCTAAGAGGATTCTATGAATGATTGGCATTGAACTTTAGACCCCCAGTCCATCGTTTCCTTTTCGGCTTCCTCTTTCGCTGCAACATCCTGCACAATCCTGGCCGGTGGGCAAGCATGCCATGCAATGGGGCCATCCGAGATCTTACCCAACTCCTCCAACTTTTTGATTTCCTCCACCAGATGCATCCAGGCGGTCCGAGCCTTCACCGTAACTCGGCTCCGTTTCCGGCCGTCTTTGAATGGTTTTGGCCTGAACATGATGTGGCAACCAAGTTCCTGTTCAATGAATGTGGCAATTGGACTGTAAGACCGGTCCATGAATTGCGGTAAACTCAGCGGCAAGAACGCTGTCACGAACTGGCCCTCCGGGAAATCTTTTGACCATTCTGTCAATTTCTGAGGGGCAGTGGTAAGACCAACTGCGCCTGCATGAGAGGACGAAGCGGCTGCGCCCCAAGCGCCAGACTCGGACCAGTCACCACGAGCGCCCCACCAGTTTGACGACCAGGACCAATCATTGTCATCCCAAGACCAGCTGCCCTGTGACCAGCTGCCCTCTGACCAGCGGCTCATCGCAGCAACGCCGGTGTACCAAAAAAACAGTAGTCTGTGGCAGTCGAACATCATTGGCAATAGCATCTGGTGAACATGCTACTTACAAACTACACACTACTTGTTGCTGCGGTGTTGGTTAGTATAAAAGTAGATACTGTGACTATGATGTAGAAACTAGTTGCTGCTCTTACTGGGCAAACATCTGCTACTTATCATTGGAATGCTGTGACGAGTCCCGTTCTGTCATTGACAAATCAAAATAGCCAACTTGCCTGGAGCCAGCATGCAGGGGGCAAAGTTCCAACCTGGCTAAATAGAAACACTGCCAAAATTGTCCCACCTCTGCAACTTGCAAGTGCCAGCTGCCCCTTCAATCAATGTTTTAACACTGCACGCTGTCCAGGCAGGTGCAGCCATGCGTTCCATAATTAAATGCAATCATTAAGAGCAGCTGCAGCCAATTAATTGGCGCTATTGTGCAAGCACTGTGATTGCAGCGCCAGGCAGTCAGATTTGCAGTTTGTCGCGAAATTTGCGACACAGGCAGTTGACGACTTTCAGTTCAGCTTCCTGCGAAATTGTTGCGGCTCGTGGGTTTAAGATAGCCAGCGAGCGCTAATTGCATTGTAAGTTTTATGTAGTTTGACGCTCGCATTCCTGCACTGCAGTCCTCCTCCTTCAGGTCTTCACCGCTCAGGACCGTCTCCAC